GCTGAATAAGCGGATTCACCATGATTTTCAACCGTGTAGTTGATTGTCAAAGAAGAATCACCGCGTTTGAACGATGGCCGTCCACTGCACTTCGTTGCATTATAGCTCAATGCACTTGTTACTCGCAAATCCGTTACACAGTGCTCATGCTTGCATCCAGGATCGAATTTTATTACATTCGATGCGTTTCTTACACTTTTAGGATCAAGAGCCACGCACGTTTCGCAAAACTCTGAGTTGTCCATAGTAGCATCGTATTTTGGAATAGCATTAATCACGCTGTGATTAAGTTCCATATGAATCGGTTCGTATATGTAATTGGTTTGGAATATTACAGACGCTTTAAGTGAAATACACTTTGAACTCGCATTTGGTGCCAAAGTGACATTCAATTCGCACGCCTCTTCATTGCATCCATCAATTTGAAAATGTGCACGAGTGAATTTGTCAATTAATTTGACGACGACACGTAATTGAGCGTCAAATTCGATCTTGTGATTTGATTTATAACGAAAGCATGCGCTGAGATCGAATGTCTTGGCACTAATTGGTATTTTTTCATCGATAGGTTTGATGCTGCCATCAATTCGAATCACTGGATATGTTTTATAAATATAAACAGCTCCAGCATTAGGAGCTCCGACCGCAAAATCTACATAATTATTTCCATCCAAGTCGACTCCTTTCGATAATCCATAACCAAACATTTGATCTAACTTGACTGCGTTGCTGGGTGCATGGATTTTCTGGGCAGGTTTGTCCAAAAGACCATCTGAACTGCCGTGGTAAATATAGATGGCTCCATTACCTTCAAAAGGCGCCGAAACTATTAGATCTGAATGGATAAAAATCATTTTAAAGTTGAAGAAAATAGAAAATGAAAAAATAATGAAGTTTCTGTTGTCAAACATTTCAATACCATTGTATCCGTCTTGATTGATATCGCCAACTTTCATCAAAGCTGCCCCGAACATTTTGTCCCGATAATAACCTTTTTCGGTTGTATGTAAAATACAGTGCAATTTGAAATTCAAAGAATCGATCGTTTTGCGATTTTTGTAAATGTACACAGCACCGGAGGATCGGTATGGTGCACCAATGGCAATGTCCATGAGACCATCGTTGTCAAAATCCTCCACCAGCACGCTATAGCCAAAATATTCACCCAACCATTCACCATTAAATGTGTAATGCTTTTTCATTACGGTTTCCATTTGCCAATTTATATAATGTGTTTGAAAATCAAAAATGTATACAGCCCCATTATTTGCTCCAGTTTCATCAATATCCCTTGGTGCACCAGCCACATAAAGTAGTTTGGATTTTCTGGGGCCATCAAAATAACCAGACGAAATGGAAAAACCGAAATATGTGTTTACTGTTCTCTTACTGCCGTCATCCCAAAATCGTGGGTTAGGCACTTCAGAGTCAATAAGCTGACTTGTTGTTCGAAGTGTGTTGATTTTCTTTCGAATTACCAAACCTCTGGAATATGCTGAACCAGGTACACCCATCAGAATTTCTTTGTTGTTATCGGTGATGTGAACACTGAAACCATGCTCTCCATCATAATACTTGAATGGTTTTTCATTTTTGCCTACTTGTATATCTGAGTCATCTAATAACTGCTTCATTGTGAAGTTAAAGACGAGTTTCATTTCATGTTTTTGTTCATTTCCCCAATAACAATTGCCATGTATCGCTTTGTCATATGTACCGTATGGTTTTTTTTTATACTCATACGTCTCCCCATGTTTCCTAAAGATTTCAATATCTCTTTTAATGCGTTCTTCACACGGTGTGGTAAATCGCGGTGCACAAACCTTTTCAAATGATACGTTAATTCGTTGAGATTCGATTAATTTAATTTGATTTCAATAAAATACTTCGATAATTTATTAGCAATAATTGCTTTGGAAATTTACCACAAACGCTTCATTATCACGTGCGCCACTATCCATTGACATTCCAAGCCACGAACCATTTAAATTTTCTATATTTTCCAAACCATTGAAAAGTTGGCAATCTCCTTTTGAAGTCTTATTCAAATCACATTTGTAAACGGCACCGGATTCAAATTGTCCATTCGGGGAATTGAATTGAGCTCGTGGAGCACCAATCAGAACGCTATTGAGATTAAATTTGTTGTAGTGCACATATTTAGAATCAAGTTGAGTTCTTAAGCCAAAATTAATTGGCCATTTCGATTACCCATTGGCTTTTAGGTTCACCGAATATCCAAAGTAACTATTCGAATTATTCAAAGCTTTCGGTTCACGAAAAACGATATTCGGCACTGGTGACACATTAAATCCATTTGTACAATGACTGCAAATCATCGTTATTGTCAGAGCGACAAAAATATTACTAAAATTATTTCGCATTTCAACCATTTTTCTATTCAAACCAAGGCAACTTAATTCAAACTCATCCCAAATTTTGCATTTATTCAAAATTGTAATAAAACATTTTCGTCAAAATCACATAATTATAAAAATTATAACTACAAAATAAGGACGTATTTTGCACTTTGAAAAATGAAGTTTATTGTTTGTTGAAAAGAATAATCGACGCGACTAGCTACAAGTCAGAAAATGGCATGTATTTTATAGCCATGTTCGAATTTTGCTGAATACTAAGAAACAGTGCTAAATACATGGATGAATTATTGTATTTGCGCAATTAATCTTTCATTACGGAGAAGTAAGGGATATTCTTTGAAAATTATGTCATTGGCCTTATAAGTGGATAATAGTAAGCATTTTAATATACCCTGAATTTAAAATGAAAAATGGGAATCATTTTCGTTATCGGCGAAATAATTTCCCAGCATTATTTAGCTATCAAATGTATATTCCTCTGACTCAATATTACCCACAACTCTTCAATCGGATAATGAATAATAGAACAAAATAGACCTGTTTATAAACAATCTTTGAATATTTTTTCCCACATTTAACTATATTTCCGATTATATTAATTATTTCACTGCCAAGCTCTGAATATATTATGGTATAAGAATGACTGAGATTTTTGCAAAATATTGACGGCGTCATTTCTCCCATATTTCGCCTATAAATTCTCCATTCTTTTTGTATGAGAGAAAATATGATCAGTAATCCATTTTTCTGTTATTTCTTATCCAAGAGAAAGTCTAGAGAAAGTCTAGAGAAAGTCGTGTGAATTTAATTTCTGTTTTTGCGATTCAACAATTTTAGGGCTTTATTGGTTAAAACATGGTAAAAAAAGAAGGCAATTTTCAAGATGTTTTCAAGATGTTTTCAAGAAGTAAGGCCTATCTGATTTTGTTTATGGAATAAATTCACTAGACATGTGGGTAAGTACTCCGAGTGCAATCATTTTGGGAACTGTGACTAAATAACAAGTGGAGATAAAAATTAAAATTCTAGTTATTACACACGTATTCCACTCACAATCATGGTGATGATAACACACATGCCCCAATTTGGTTACACACATTTCATTCGTAGAAATAATGATTTTTCCGCTAATATTAAATGCATGAAATCATCATTCAAAATAACGGTTTCGGTTGTTTAAACACGATCATAGTAATACCCAAATGAAAATAATGTTTTTGAAGTTGAAGTAATTAAAAATAAAATTATTTCAGTTTATGCCTATTCATCCGCTGATGAATCCAGATCGAATTCTTCGCTTGAACCTTTATTAATTTGCCGAGAAGCTGAAGTAGGCGCGGCTTGACTTGCTCGTTTCAGTTGTTTCAACTCTTCGTGTTGACTTCGTTTGAAGAATCCCCACTGAAATAGTTCAATCGAATTATTGTAATTATGCTCGTTGATGATGATGATCCAATGTGCAAACCTTGTACATCGCCAACGAGATAAGCTCCAGAATCAACGTGCCAAACACACATGAAACAACATAAATCCATAAGGGTGTAAACTTTTCTTCGCTGCGCACAAATTTCGTGTATGGATATGGGTTGATCTGCACCGAAGAACTAAAAACGATTCATCTTTTGAATTAAAGAATTCACAAATCCATTAAATTGCGACCTACCAATCTTTCTCAGTCGTCTTTTGAACCACAATTGAAGTGAAAACAACGAAATTGTCTTGACCTGCTTCACTGATTATATCGGCCACTTTTTTCGTGTCGATTGGAAACGTCAAAGTGATAACAAATGATGTGTGACTTTCAAAGTTAGTAATTCTGAACTCGCCCTTGGAACAGCGTTCGTATCCGGAATGACTGTATTCGAAAAAAATGGTTTGAACCGTACTTAAATTACCTCGAATCGGGTCATTCTTCGACACAGCTGTAGTCAATGCATCTGGGCTGTCTGAATATGGTGTTTGAGACCATTTGATATCCGATTTGTTCCCTTCGAATTTATTGTGAAATGAAACATTTTCAATGTCAACGAGCTCTTTGGCATTCTTCGTAACCGGGTCGATATATTTTGTTGGCAAATAAATGAAAACATCCAACGAATCGATGTTGCTTGGGCCATGGTTCTTAATCTGTGCACAAAATTATGTTTGCAAATTGATCAGTCTTCTCCTTGAGTACATTTTGTTTTCTTCTTACCTCGAATTCGTGCGTTAGATTCTCTTGTGTGTTGGTACCAGCTTGTATTTTAATTTCGGAATTGTCAGAGTACCTTTGGAAATGATTTCGAAAACAATTTAGACTCTATAAAATAAGTAGAAAGAAAAAACTAACCCAAAAGTTTCAATGTTGCTGTAATCAGTCACCGGAATATTATCTATGTGTGCAATGTTATCAAATATGGGTGAGCCTGTCGCAGTTGTGTGACTGGAAGCTATTGCTTCTAT